AACCGTGGTCGTTCAGTCTGAAGAAAAGGAGGCTGAAGAGAAACCTCATTACTCTCTACAGCTACCTGAAAGGAGGTCATAGGAAGGTGCGTTTTGGTCTCTTCTGCCACATAACAAGTGATGGGAAAAGAGGAAACAGCCTCAAGTTGCACCAAAGGATGTTTAGATTGGAAATTAGGAAAAATTTCTCCACCCAAAGGGTTGTCAACCATAGGAACAGGCTGCTCAGGGAAGTGGCTCAATGACCATCCTTGGAGCTCTTTAAAAGATGTGTAGATATGGTGCCTGGGGATATGGCTACGTGGTGGACTTGGCTGTGTTAGGTTAACAGATGGATCCGATGATCTTAAAGCTCTTTTCCAACCTAAATGATTCTATGAGTTGATTCATTTTAACTGGGAAAAAAAAAGCAAGCCTCCTCACTTGACTACATCCCAAAATATTAATAAATTCACAACCGGAAAGTGAACACACACAAAAAACAGCAGTAGCAAAATACTTTACTAAAATATCATACGTGAAATAATTAGCTCAACATTCTCATGTTCTATGCAAATAATGCAAACATTGTCACACATTTTGTATGAACATTATGTAGTAACCTGCACAAATCCAAGAAGAGCAGCACACCTGTCAGATCCAGTACAGACTGTTAGCCCTTGTGTTCCGTTCAGCTTTTACATAAGGCAAATGTTTCATTACAAAAATCTACTCTGTATTCTCAAAAGTGGCCAGAAAGGTTATGCCTCCTCAGTAATACTGAATCAGATGAAACATGTGATCAAATCACTCACTGACATTTTTGAAAATCCTGATGTAAATTAAGAATATACTAGTGGATGAATTAGTTGTGAAGAATGTATTCTTTTTTCTGTATTCAGAAACTGGCGTGGTGTTGGAAGAAATAGATTATGCTGAAATTCACATCTCTAAGACACTATGAACTCTACTGATTCTTGCATTCCTTCCTACTAAATGAGAAGCAATAGAATAACTTTTCAGAGTAACTTTCTAAAGTTATATATAAAAAAAATTATTTAATGATCATTTGACCCAGAAAGCTTAAAGATGTTGATAGTGCACTACTTTTACAGATACACTGCCTCAAAATTGCCTAAATTCTTTTATTAGCCTATACAAAGATTTAAAAATAAGTATATGTACACTGCAGTATTGTGCTGACAGTTCTAGTTATATTTTCATTTTTTGTGATGGTCTTTCATAAGGAAATACACATAATTTGGCAAAAGGCCACTAATACTGTTTTGATTGCGTTAAAAGTCATGATTTGAAGCCTGAGCTGCCAAAGCTGATTTTATTTAGCTGATACATATAAACACACTAGCAATGTGGCTTTATTTAAATAAATGAATTTGTCCTACATGTAGTAATCTACTTCTCTTAAATCACATTTTCCAGCAGGATAACTTTATATTTTATGTAACTAATTATTCATTTATTATGTTCTTACAGTGGGGACAAAATATTTCAAATATAATAAGTAATAAAGAGTAATAAAGAGAGACATTTTGCACTCCCTGGAAACAACATCCAGAATTGGATGGTTTCTTAAAACAAGCCTGAAGATCTTATTCCTAATGGCACAGTAGCTATGAATTTAGCCCCCAAAAATATAGTGATAGCATCTGCAAATGTGATTAACAGAAAATAACACCTCTTCCCAGTTAGTAGCCATATTCAAGTAATTAGGAACACTCCTGAACTAAAATAAAAGCCACAGTCAAGAAGTGTAGCAGAATTTGGCCCTCAAGGGTAATTTTTCTTTATGATGATACAAAGCCACAAACTGCTCAAGCAAGACATATTTTAATACCACTCACAAAGAGCCAGACAAGCAACCAAAACCATCTCCTGGTGGGAGATTTTGCCATTTGGCCATGAGTTCAGCCTGACAGACGACTGCACCATCCCAGCAGCCAGGTGCCACTGTGCTTCTTGGATCTCAACACCCAGTGGAAGTGAACAAGTCAACACATCTGTATGTAAACTAACAGCTCTTCTGCTGAGACACAGGGTCTCTGGGACTGCCCAGCTGGACTGGTCCTACAGCTGGGGTAAGGTTGGCACCAGGCACAGAGGTGGAAGGGAGACCCACAAGGGACTGCAGGATTATTTCTTTAAGAACAAGAAGAAACGAGGATGAGCAGCAGGCTGGTTACTCTGGCCCAGCTCACAGACCCTCACAGACTCCAAAAGAAAGGGAGCTAGGAGAGGCCAGGGAGCATTTTTTTTATGCTCAGCATTTTTCCACAAATTAAAGCGATAGCCAGCTTGCACCTTGGGTACAGCAGCAATGAATGGCAAATCTTTTCTGCAAGTTACATGGAAAGAACAGTGATTAAAATGCTGTTGCTAGGCTTTATCAGTCTGATCCATCACACCTACTGGAGGCAGAAGCAAAAGTAAGAGTACTACAGCAGGGCTTTGAGTCCAAGGGCAGGTACATCTGCAAAGCTGGGATGGGAGGCAGAAGAGATGCTGTTCCACCTGGAGCTGGGCTGCCCACTCCCTGGTGCAGGGTACATGCTAGGGAAAGGCAAATGCCTCCCTAGTCACCCACCCGCACCACCTGGGTTGCCGTATTCCTGCAAACGCCATATGCACAACTATTTTCTGAATGGGAAACTTAAGGCAGATTATTCTTCTACTAAAAAAATAAACATAATTTCTTTCATCATCAGTTGTTCAAAAATAAGTACATGAGTTCAGGTTCTTCTACATCAGAATAAAATAAATAATACATAAATATCTGAGGAGTAGATGTCAAGAGGAAAGAGACAATCTCTTCTCAGTGGTACCCAGCAATAGAACAAGAAATAATGGGGTTAAGATACAACATAGAAAGTTCCACCACAACATGAGGAGAAACTTCTGACAGAGCCCTGGCACAGGCTGCCCATAGAGGATATGGAATCTCCTTTTCTGGAGACTTTCAAAACCCACCTGGATGTGTTCCTGTGTGGCTGCCCTAGGGGATCCTGCTCTGGCAGAGGGTTGGACTAGATGATCTCTAGAGGTCCCTTCCAACCCCGAACATTCTATGATTCTATGATTCTGTGATTTTATGGTTCTTAAACACTTTTTGGGATGGGGCTGAAAATATTTATCCTGCTCTTCAGACACAGCCAAACAGAAAGAAACACTTGGATATTCCTTGCACACTTCAGAAAAGAAACAGTAAAAATAAATAAATGCAAAGTAATAAGTTATCTTTCCCTGTCTTTCCTCCACGCTTTTTACCACATTCAGCACACGTCTCTGTCCCCAAGGCCCTGCCCTGACACCCTGGGGCAGGATCTGGCCCTGGTTGCCCTCACTTGGCCTGATCCTGACCTCATCTGTCATCACCAGGGCCTGGCCATCACTGACTTGATCTTGGATCTACATCATCACCATGATACTGCCTTACGATTGGGACTCTTGGTTGGACCTGGCCACCATCAGTGGGTCTATACTGCTCCCTGGCATGGGTGCATGGGGCTGAGACCTACCAGCTGTCAGATCCCCTCAGCCCCCGGCTCACCTTCCCCAAGGGAGCAACCTCGCTTCTACTGCTCTCTGGAAAAAAAAAAATTTCATTTGTAGCATAAGTATTCATTAACTCTTTGCTGGTAAAACTGACCTTTTCTTTGCATGAAAGTAAATAAAATAGTAATATTGCATAAACTGTGATTTTATGAACACTTTTCTCCTTCCCCATATCCTTTATCTCTTAAACCTGCAAACATCCTAGCAATTTCATGAAACAAGAAATGAGGCTCCCAGCCTCAATGATCACTTGGGCACATTCTGCCACTAGGTTTTGTTTAAAAGAGGAAAAACTTCCTGTCCTCTCCCTTATACACCCAGTCCTCATAAGAAAAAATATCTAAATCAGCTGTACTCTTTATCTCACTGTAAGTGACTCTAGTTTAGCCTTGGCAAAAAATTCACAGCAGCTTTCAAGCCACCAAAGTGAGATGCAAATATAAAAGATGTCTCCGGGGTCTATTTTAGTAGAAAGACCAGGACACTCTCCACTGAGCACAGATCTGGCTCTACCACACATCATTTT